AAGAAGCCCATCTCCCCTAAACCAGCCTACTGTTTCAAACTGTGTTAATATTTTTTTAAAAAAACCCAGAAACTTAGTTCTGCTACAAGGTGTTGATCAAGCCAGTATCTCGCTTTCAGTCCGTCCCTTTGGAAACATGTCTAATTATTTCAAGGAGAGAAAACACTGCATGGTTAAATTTGTTTCCTAGCTGTACATGTTTGACATAACCTTGAACCCAATTTGTGCTTGCATCCAGCATGTTTCTCTAGCTGGTACAACCAGTGTAATGCTCTTGGTATGCAACTGGAAGAAATACTTAGCTTTTTGAAAGTTCTTCAGGGCCTCTGAAGACTTAAGAAAACGAACAAACCTCAAACTGGACAAAAGATCTCCCTCTTCGCACAATGCCTGCTTCAGTTCCAATATAACACCAGTGAAATATCCCACCCCCTATTCCCAACCTAGCAAGTCCAGGAGTTGCAGTTCCACAAGTTAAGAACTTCTCTGCACTCTCACACAACTTTTTCTAGTTTGTCATGGAGAAGGGCCATTATAGTTAAACCAGATCATATCTTTTGAGTGTCTGGTGTGCCCACTAGAGTCCCACAGCTATGTACGGAATCACGCCAATCATAGATGATCATTAAATCCAGAGCTGAGATTCAATGCTTCTAAATGGGAGAATCCAATCACTTTGTTTAAACATTGTTGTTTTATCCACTTTGTCAAGGAATCTAATTTAATATAAATCAGGTTTATGTTTTCAGAATGGCATGGGAAATTTGCATTATTTAAGAGGACATCTCCTGCTTTTATTTATTTATGTTCAAAATTCCCCTTGCTATTTGCTTTTAATTCAATGCCTGCTCTTAAAAAAATTTTTTTTTATATACCCTGGGGGCAAGTTGACTGCATTCTTAAGCTCCAAACCTTAGGGACTGCCTTTTCGTCTATGAGCAATCATCATCTCTGCAGTTAACCTACGGCAGACTTTTGATAATGCCTCCTGTGTATCAAGTGTGATGGGGGAGAGCACAAAGGGAGGAATTCTGTACTTCTGTTCCCCATCATTCCCCTGAAGATCTGCCAAAGGCAGTATCCTTCAAACTCCTCTTTATTTTTATTTTTCAAGTGCAGGCCGCTTGGTTGCCAAGGATACGCTGCTTCTTTTTCTTCTTCTTTGCAATATGTTTCTCCTCTCCCATTTAAATACATTTCTAACCATTAAAAAACACACAACTGTTCAAAATGTTATAAGCCAGACCAAGAAGCTAAAGGACCAAGGTATAATATGCATTTAAATGTAATGTAAAATGATTGAAGGCTCAACAGAGGCACTAGGAAGGTTTCCCAGTGTTCTGCCTGGACTTAGATTCAGGGTAAACTAGCAAACCGCTGTTTAAGCAAAATGGATTTGGGTGCTCTTCCCACTTGCAATATAAATGTTTCCTGGAAACTGACAAATATATTAATAGAGATAAGGACATTCTTATAGCATTCATGCTGAAATGTATTACCCTGAAGCAAATGGGACAGTATCAGGGCTTGCTTCGAGGACTGAAGGATTAAATTAATATAATCTGGCACCAATCTTAACTTACGTTGTGCATACTTTAAATTAATCCAGAATATAGATGCAACTGGGCATAGGACTCAAATTACAGGTTTGGAGAGAACTGTATAGCACAAGGGGACATAAAAAGAAATGAAATCTCCTGAATAAAACTGGAGCAATATGCAGGTAAAGGTAAAGGTACCCCTGCCCGTACGGGCCAGTCTTGCCAGACTCTAGGGTTGTGCGCTCATCTCACTCTAGAGCAGTGTTTCCCAAACTTTTTTGGGCAACGGCACACCTGTTTACTGAAAAAAAATCTCGCGGCACACCACCATTAAAGCCCCGCCCCGTGACGTCAGCGCGCAGCGTCACGCCGGGAGGGACGCACGAAAGTGAAAGTTTTTTCCCTCCCCCTTGCCGGGGAACCTCCAAGCTTTGGGGGTGGGAGGAGGCAGCAGAGCGAGGGACTGAGGGACGGCGGCAACTGAGGCGGCGGCGGCTGTGGTGGTGGTGGCGGCGATAGCGGGCGGAGGAGGGGGCGGCGGCGGGGCTTGAGGAGCCGTCGCCGGGAGTTGCTGCTGCTGTTGTTGCTGCTGCTGCCCGGACATGCCGGCCTCCTCCTCCTCCGCTGTCTCGCGCTCCTCCCTTTTGCACGCGCTGCCCCGCCGCTCGGCACCACCACCGCGGAGCCGCCCCCGGCTCGACGCGGATCCTCGCCGCCGCCGCCTCTCACCGCCCGACTCGCCCGCCTCCTTCCCACGGCACACCAGCCAATGTCTCAAGGCACAGTAGTGTGCCGCGGAACACCGGTTGGGAAACACTGCTCTAGAGGCCGGGAGCCAGCGCTGTCCGCAGACACTTCCGGGTCACGTGGCCAGCGTGACGAAGCTGCATCTGGCGAGCCAGTGCAGCACACGGAACGCCGTTTACCTTCCGGCTGGTAAGCGGTCCCTATTTATCTACTTGCACCCGAAGGTGCTTTCGAACTGCTAGGTTGGCAGGCGCTGGGACCGAACGACGGGAACGCACCCCGCCGCGGGGATTCGAACCGACCATGCGATCGGCAAGTCCTAGGCGCTGAGGTTTTACCCACAGCGCCACCCGCATCCCTTAATATGCAGGTAATTATTCCCAAATTAAATCCTGCCCCCGCCCCCGAAATGACATACATTTGCATGGCACTTTAAACCACGGTTAAGCAAAACTATGGTTTGAAGTTGAGCGCACAACCTGCTCATACACCAGGCTAAAATTGGGAGAGTTTCTTTCCTCTTGGTTACAGCTTGTGGTTTGTTTGGAGAGAAACAAACCACAAACCTGGACTCAGATCCCAAAGCACGAATTAACTCCTGGCAGTGAGGAAGGAACAAAGCGCCCATGATTTTAGACCTGTGCAGCAGCACACTGTGTTTTCACCTTTAAACCATAGTTTAGCGTAATTATGGTTTACAGCAGCGGCGAAGAACCTTGGCCTTCAAGCCAAATTAGTTCCAGCAGGAGGCCTAATTTGGCTCGCAAGGCCTTTCCACCCAAACCATGTCCACCTGCACTATACCTGACAGCATGTGTGCTGTCAGATAAAGATGTGACTGCAAAGGAACAATTAGGAGCCCTATTGCGTGCTCCCAATTGCTCCTTATCAGCTGATTGGCGCTGACAGCAAGCCCTGCTTACACACTGCATACATAAATACGGCATGTATATAAAGCCAACTGGGAACTCCATGCTTACAGTCAATCCCAAGTATTCAAAGCACATCATATATATGAAGGGCTTGGAATCCCATAAGGCAGGGCTAGGGCTAGCCTATATGGTGCCCTATAGAAGTTGCTGGCCTGCCAACCTAGCAGTTCAAAAGCACGTCGAAGCGCAAGTAGATAAATAGGTACCACTCCGGTGGGAAGTTAAACGGCGTTTCTATGTGCTGCTCTGGTTTCGCCAGAAGCGGCTTAGTCATGCTGGCCACATGACCCGGAAAAACTGTCTGCGGACAAATGGCCAGCTCCCTCGGTCAGTAAAGCGAGATGAGCGCCGCAACCCCAGAGTCGTTCGTGACTGGACTGTCAGAGGTCCTTTACCTTTTGAGAAGTTGCTGCACTACAACTCCCAGGATCCCTGACCACTGCTCATGCTGATTGGAGCTGATGGAGTCCAACAACATCTGGAGGCCACCATTCTGACTCCACCTGCTGTGAGTCAGTATTAATACCATCCGTATTGCAAATAGGGAGAGAGTGACTTGTCTGGAAGCCACCGAGTGAGTTCATGGCAGACGCGAGAACCAGGAACTTGCCAATCTGTAGCTCCTTCTCTGAAACCATTATGCCCCACTAGCTCTCTAGATTTCAGCTCGGCTTTACTACAATAAAGCACCACAATAGCAGGGTTCATATGTGTCTCCAGTCCAAGAGCTCCGTGTATATTCAGGTGTGCGCACACAAGTATTCCAATTCATGATGAACATGTGTGCAATGCATTCCCAAAGAGTGAGCTTTGTATATGCAATGGAGCGTCCATACCTAAAACCGATCACTGGATCAGAGCACCTGAGCACCGACTGATTTCAAAAACAAGGAATACTGATATTTTACTTCGGGAGGAGTGTGGGCCAAATTTTTATTCTGACCCCTAATGGCAACCTCTTTTCTAACATAAAACCTACTGAGGTCTACCAGTTTCTGTTCTCTTGGAATAAGACAATGAGTAAGTGCTCATTCTGTTTACAAGACCTTAATTAAAGCACCCATTTAATCAGAGGGATGTAATGAATTATCTACAACCATCATTAGCTCAGTGTACACGTCTAAATAAGATCATTTTAAGGGTTCCCAAGAAATAGTGAAGAAGACAATTGTATGGTGTGTGTTTTTAAAAAAATAGTAATAATAAAAAAATAATAATATTCAGAAGCTACATAAGGAAACTGTGTGGGTCTTTGAGAGTTACTAGCATTAAGAACCCTATGGTAACAACATGCTCTTTTCATCACAGTCAATTCATTAATGAAGGAGTCGGGGCGGGGGGGGGGGGGAGAGAAATGAGCTAGGAAGCAGGAAAATGCAGACCATCTGCTCTGCCCAGATGCAATAAAAGCATGCTTCTGGCATCTAACACTATTTAATAGCAATGCACAGAGATAAGATCAGTAAATCCTTTGATCAAAGATCAAGTCTCTCACACACAAAATCTTTATGTACCTCTGAACTAAAAGCCAGAATTTAACTAATATATTTCCCCAGACTTTTTTACTTGTACATACACGCCCCAACTACTGGGTTAAGATTAGGAATTAATCAAATTAATTCTACACGCAATATGTTACTTTACTGAAGTGATGCTGCTAGGGTGATTTTTTGCCTAGCTTCAGAATGGAACACAGAGACATACAAACAAACAAACTGCCCCAAACAAGTATGGAATAGCTGCCCAGGCATAGGTATAATGAAAGAGGTGAACTTCTTACCTTGAAACTGTGAACCTTTTCATATTTTGGAATGTGTTCGTTTTCTTTCAGAGTTGCTCTTCTGACAAGTGATGTCAGCTGCGAATAAGCAAAGAGTTTAAGAGGTTGCCAGATTGTCACAGATGACTTTTGAAAGCCCAGTCGCATTCCCAAGGCTGCCATCAATAAATCTCTTTGACGGCTCTCCTGTTTGGAGTTGTGAACGGCAGATCTATTAGCTTTTGGCCCCGACCAAGAGTCTTTGGATGGCATTTTGGAAGAACTGGCAGGCAAAAACCGAAAGCAAGAACCAAAAAGCCCAAACACCAAAAATAAAATAAAAACAAGAACTTTGCACCGATCTCAATTTGAGTTAAAAGCAAAACAAAGGCAGCCTTATTATCCTGAAGCCTAAACTGAGTTGAAGAAGGGCATCATTGATGCAGTTACTATTTTACTTTAAAAGAAAAATCTGGCTTGGCTGTGGTTTCTTCTCTCTTGAGGGCTTTTGTTTTTTAAAAAAGCTTTCTAATTCAAGCCTGAAAACTTATGGGTCTGAATGTAAACAAAAGCAGAGTCCCTGTTAACAAAAGAAATCCCAGAATGTCTTCATCCATTTAGAAACCTATGCAGTGAATGCAGAAGAGGCAGTTTTCTAGACTCTTTTCTTCCCTATTCAACCATACTGATGACCATTTTGTATCAAAAGATGCTCACATACTGCATATAATCAGTTTCCAGTTAACAGACATGCTGCTAACCTCAGTCTAGCAAGGAGAGGGAGGAGGGGGCGGGCTTTAGCCGGCAGCAATGAATCTGACTGGTTAGATTTAGACGGCATGCAACCAACCAAGAGCCGGCAATAGAATTTAAGCAGCGTGGTGCTCAGGCTCACTCATCCCCCTCCCACTGGAGACTTTCTTGCTGGCTCAAGAGAAAAAAAAATATCAGCAGGAAGATAATGAGCAATGAATGAGTCATGCATCATTGCAAAATGGCATCTCTGCCATTTAAAAACTAAGGAGATTGCTCTTCAGTTTTAATGCCTGGAAATGTAGTGCAAGCAGGAAAGGGAGGAAAGCTGCGTATTACATGGATGATTGAGACAGATGAACACTAATCCTATTGCTTATGACTATTCTCACATGCAGGGACACGGGTGGCGCTGTGGGTTAAACCGAAGAGCCTAGAACTTGCCGATCAGAAGGTCGGCGGTTTCGAATCCCCACAATGGGGTGAGCTTCCCATTGCTCGGTCCCTGCTCCTGCCCACCTAGCAGTTCGAAAGCATGTCAAAGTGCAAGTAGATAAATAGGTACCGCTCCGGCGGGAAGGTAAATGGCGTTTCCGTGTGCTGCTCTGGTTCGCCAGAAGCGGTTTAGTCATTCTGGTCACATGACCCGGAAGCTGTACGCTGGCTCCCTCGGCCAATAAAGCGAGATGAGTGCCGCAACCCCAGAGTCGGTCATGACTGGACCTAATGGGTCAGGGGTCCCTTTACCTTTATTCTCACATGCACCTCCCTTTACCTTTTTACAACAATTTCACGGTAACACAAAATGCCTTTTCTTTTGCACTTGTCGTCTCCTTTGCTCAGCCCCTTTTTTCTTAAAAGGCTGTCACCATCACCTTCCTCTCCACCAACATCTTACATCTTGTGTAATGATTCCCCACTGCATCCAAATGAGTTGGGGCGATGGTACTGAAATGGGATCAGTGGTTGAGCTGGATGCCCCCAACGTCCTTTTCCAGGAACTGATGGAACTGTGGCAACTGATTGTAAGAATTATACTAGAATGATCAAACTAGCATGAGTGCTGGAGGTTGCTTTGATAGGCCTGGCAAACTGGACAAAGCAGCCATCCTTTGCTGTGGAGGCAGTTCTCTTTAGTTTTCATGTTCTGGAAGGGTCCAACAATTTGGAAAGGGAGCTCACCTTCTGAGTCCCTCTTCCCAGGTGTGGAATGTGGTATTTCTGTGTGTGAAAGTCAAGATGCTACAGGCTGAGAGTGGAATACAGTGGTACCTCGTGTTAAGAACTTAATTTGTTCTGAAAGTCCGTTCTTAACCTGAAACTGTTCTTAACCTGAGGTACCACTTTAGCTAATAGGGGCCTCCCGCTGCCGCCGCAGCACTTTCTGTTCTCATCCTGAAGCAAAGTTCTTAACCCAAGGTACTATTTCTGGATAAGCGGAGTCTGTAACCTGAAGTGTGGTACCCGAGGTACCACTGTACACTGCTCACCAGAAACTTAGCAAGGATGGAGTAAGTAAGAGAAAAGGTTCTCATGTGAATCAGTAACTGGTTAAGAAACAGGAACTAGAGAGCAGGAATAAGAGGACATTTCTCTCTCTACTGATGGATCAAAAATTAGAATGAGCAGTGAGGGCTTCAAGATACCAAAAATGTTAAGGGAGGCTGAAACAGAAAGGAATTGCCAGGAGCTCCTAATCACTGTCTCAAAACTGGGCAAATGGGCAGTAGAATGGCAAATGCAATTTAGTGTTTTTGTTCTCGTTTTTATTACGCATTTTGTGTGGTTTTTTTTATCTTGTATATTGTGGACTGCTGCAAGATTTACAGCTGAAGAGTAGTATACAAATTTAATAAATGACAAATAATAATAAATGAAATTGGCTGGGCCTGATTTGTATACCTCTGTGCTCACTGCAAGAGGTACCTGCCAAGTCCATTGTATGGCATGTTACATGGTATGGCATGTAACATGCTCTTGAATTTAATGCTACAGCAATATTTATAAAGGAAGGGGCGGCATGATTAACATATGGGGAAGCATTCAGGTGAACAATAAACTAGCAGCATTTAATTTTTCCTTCCCCACTATTGGAATGCACTTTCAAGTTTGTGAAACTCATTATATGTTGTATCCAATTCTCCAGGCTACTTTGCATTGTGTACGTAGTAAGTGATACCTGAATGCCAAAAGCATACAGCCTGTATCAGCTGAGAATGTTATTTTTACATCTCAACTGTTCATAGCAAAATACTTGGGAAGTAGGAGTCCAAGTCTTTCCCATTCATTATTTCCCCATTATTCTTTAACAAAAGCAGTGACTTGAAGTGTACATGAGCCACTCTCATTCCATGTGTGGTGCACAGATTTTGTACTGTGGTTAATTTGGGTTTGAATAAATCTTAGATAGGGCTGCCATATTTCAAAAAGTGAAAATCCAGACACAAAAATTGTTGAGCTTGTTTTAAAGCTTTTTAAAAATTTTATTTTAGGAAATTCACCAAAATGTCAACACTTCCGATCTAAGTTGCCATATGCCTGGGTTTTCCTAGATATTTTTAATGATTTTTGAAAATCCCACCTGGACGCTATTTTCAACGGGCGAATCCTGGCTATGTCCAGGAAATTCCAGAAATATGGTAGTTTGTATTAGGTGTTAACTTTAGAGACAATGCAGATGTGTTGTGGCAAGAATCCTCTTAGAAAGTCATCTGCATGAGAGTTGGGGGAATATTTTTTTAAGAGAACATTTGCTATCTGTGGCTTTGACGGTTACTTGTATTAAAGCAGTAGTTTTCTCTCTTTAAATCTAAAGGTAAAGGTAAAGGTAAAGGTAAAGGTAAAGGTACCCCTGCCCGTACGGGCCAGTCTTGCCAGACTCTGGGGTTGTGCGCTCATCTCACTCAAGAGGCCGGGGCCAGCGCTGTCCGGAGACACTTCCGGGTCACTTGCTGGGACCGAGCAACGGGAGCGCACCCCGCCGCGGGGATTCGAACCGCCGACCTTTCGATCGGCAAGTCCTAGGCGCTGAGGCTTTTACCCACAGCGCCACCCGCGTCCCTCTCTTTAAATCTACTGTCTTGTTAATCAGTGCATGCTTTATTTCATTTTTAAAGAAGTTATTATATCTTGTAGCCCTAGTGAAGAGGTTTTATTTCACACCTGAGTGGGGAATATTTGGTCACGGGGGGGGGGGGGGGAATGGCTGAAAGGACAAGCTTCCTCAAGGCTTCCTCAACCTTGGCCCTCCATATGTTTTTGGCCTACAACTCCCATGATCCCTAGCTAGCAGGACCAGTGGTCAGGGATGATGGGAATTGTAGTCTCAAAACATCTAGAGGCAGAGGTTGAGGAAACCTGCTATTTATGCCAAAATAGGTGGTGGTGGTGGAATAGCGATGAAAGAAGCCTGTCTTCCTGGATCATCATAATCTCCAGATAATTTTTTTTAAAAAAATGCCACTTGTGCTACAAACTTCCATCAAGCAGCTGTCCCTATGGATCTATTTCTAAGGCAAGGGGATTGAAAAAGTCACTCAAGGAGAATAAGGCATGGCTTTGTTCACAGTGGTAAGGCAATGGGTTGTATCCAAGTAAGTTATACTCAGAAGTAGACCCAAGGAACAAGTAACATAACTCCATTGATTTCACTGGTTCCCTGAAGCTGCATTGACTGTCTAGGAAAATAAAGTATTTTCCAGTTCAATTACCAGTAGAAATAAGCAAGCCACCAACTTTGCACTTATATAATTAAGACTGCACCTTCCAAGATCCTTGAAACATCATAAATAATTGTAAGTATTAACATAAATCATTTTGATATTTTTCTTTCCTCCCGTGGCAAAGAGCATGTTTATATTTTGACGTGCTTATTTCCTACTTGTCAGTTTCCCTTTTCCCTATATTTCTTAAAACCTGATTTATTTTCAATTACACTTTAGGGTCACATTAGCAGAAAATGATTTCTGGATCCCGGAAAATTAAATCTAGAGAACGCCAATAAAAAGCAGAACAAAAACTACCTGACAGGAAAAGGTCACCCTTTCACAGCTATGATTATGAAAAAGAGATTTTAATCAGAAAAGGTAGTTTTAAACTAATGAATTTCCATTCTCATGTGACTTTCTGCTACAGAAACCTATGAAACAATGTTACAAAGCTTACTTAAATTAGTGCTACCTTGATCATCGGCAGGATTTTTTTAAAAGACCAAACAAACCCCAAAACAGTCATGCAGACTTAGAAATCACCCACACCTAAATCATGCACATTATTTATGCAGTTATATATTACCCAGGCAAATAATACACCCCAACCAATATGATTCAAGTTGTTTTCTGTGAGAATACTGAATACCTAGTCATATACTGTATATTCAGAACAAAATTTTCCTGGAGAAAGCACTGGGCTACACTTCATATTTGAATATATGGTCTAATCCTACACAGCTGAATTGCCTGTGGGCAAGATAAACCAGGACAAAGTGTTGCCTGAGTGCCACAAAACCTTATTACACTGTTGTTATGATTATTATTTTTTCATATTATGCTGTCTATTATGCTTTTTATTATGTTTTTATTACTGATGCTCCATAAAATGTTTTCTTAATGTTGCACATTGCCCAGGGATCTTTTGATAAAGGGTGTTATACAAACTGAATTGTTGTTGTTGTTAGTAAAATGTCTGTGATCAATTGCTTCATGTGTACTTCTTTATTTTCTGATGAGACATTGATATTCAATTGCATTCTCAACTTATGTTTACAAACTCTCTTGAAGTTGGTCTAGAAAACTGACCTGTCTGGGAGTTAGGTTAGAAGGTGTGAACAGAGTTTGGAATGAATGCAAAATAAGATGACTTTATAGCAGTTCAGAACTATAATTTATTGGGTTGTTTCTATTTCTATTGTGTATTTTGTATTTTTATATTGTGATTTTCTGTTGTAGCCACCCTCAGGCCTGCGGGTATAGGGCGGTATATAAATTTAATAAATAATAATAGTAATAGTAATAATAATATAAGTCAGAGATATCATGTGGACTTAGGAACTCCAACAAAATAAAGAGCATGGGAAGGACACTGGTATATGTGTAAATGTGAAATGGGGTGCCCTTTTTTTGTGGGAACTATAGACTCTCAATCAGGGTGCTGCTCCCTAGCTGCACTGGGAAAGGGAAATGGGAGATGTTTATGGGCCTACAAAATAGTTGCACCTAGTCAGATGCAGTAGTTAGTGGTTTGTACAGGAATCTGCATAGCAATTCAACCCTGGCCAAAAGCCATTCTGGAAAAATCAATCTTTTAATTCAAAATGGATTTTTGAAATCCAGCTGCTGTTAAGTAAAACTGGAAATTTAAGACAATCCTTGTGAATTTTCAGAAAGCCCAGAAATGCCATAGTGATACATCTCAATACTAATATATATTTACTCATACGATTCTTGATTCTCACACATATAATTTTGTGGATGTCCAGCAAGCAATACATTAGCCCTTTCTGTGAAAACATCATACCTCCAGCCATAATATTTTGTTGTCTCTACAGGCATGTGAATGAACTTGATCCTCATGGATGTGAAAGTTAAAAATCTTATCTGACGTATTAATTTTGCAGTTCTTCAGTTCATGTAGCTGATTCAGCTCTGAAGGAATTTGGTGTATTTTGCTACTACAAACATCATTTGTTACAGATTTAATTGGATGCAAGTTATCCAAACTAGCTGTTCAGAAACTGTAAATGAAAACTGCAGACTGGCCAAAGCGTTTCAAAGTGGCCATTCACCTATCACTAACTAAAATCTCTGCCCAAATAATTTAACACTTTGTCTACTGAAAAATAATTGCAAACCACAATGATACAAATTTTGCTAAAGTCATTCAGTGAAAGATTACACTTGTACTTTGTTAAAATGATTTTGCTGTTGAGCCACTGCTGTTCTAGTGAGTTCACAAAGCTACTTAGCATTTTAAGCTACAGATATCCTTTCTCTCTCTCTAGGTAAAAGCACTTTAGAAGCATCCATTCTCAGCGTTGTGTGAAATTGAGTCGCTAAACTATCATCTTCATCCTACAATGACATGACCTAGCCTTGCCAATAGCTATTCCTTTGAAACAATACCTCAAATTGGCAAGAAATCACAGGGTGAAATGAAGGATTTTGCCCAATCGTTCTTTTTATAAAGAGCAACAGGACAATGAGACAGAGTCAAAGTCCACAACTGCCTTCAAAAGTTAGATCAACGTCCCTCAGTAATGTCAGGGTCCTTCTTCACAAATTCGCCTCTAGTTCCTGGGTGCAGCAAGGAATTGCATGATCTATTAATAAGAGACAGTCATGTCCTAGACTCATGATCCATACGGGTGAAACTGTTTCTGCGGATGATCATTTCCGCCCTGCAATAATCCTGAGACAATGTGGGGGCCAATGTAATGTGTGGGCAGACTCTCACATATTCTCCTTACTTACTCACTGCAAGGATGAAAATAACTGGCTGCTAAAGAGGTTTGAGTGGGACGCGGGTGGCGCTGTGGGTAAAAGCCTCAGCGCCTAGGGCTTGCTGGTCGAAAGGTCGGCGGTTCGAATCCCCGCAGCGGGGTGCGCTCCCGTTGTTCGGTCCCAGCGCCTGCCAACCTAGCAGTTTGAAAGCACTCCCGGGTGCAAGTAGATAAATAGGGACCGCTTACTAGCGGGAAGGTAAACGGCGTTTCCGTGTGCGGCTCTGGCTCGCCAGATGCAGCTTGTCACGCTGGCCACGTGACCCGGAAGTGTCTGCGGACAGCGCTGGCTCCCGGCCTATAGAGTGAGATGAGCGCACAACCCTAGAGTCTGTCAAGACTGGCCCGTACGGGCAGGGGTACCTTTACCTTTACCTTAAGGAGGTTTGACAAGTTACCTATGGCTGATGTATCCCCAAACTATTCAACGTATAAAGGTAAAGGGTAAAGGGACCCCTGACTGTTAAGTCCAGTCGCGAACGACTCTGGGGTTGCGGCGCTCACCTCACTTTATTGGCTGAGGGAGCCAGCGTACAGCTTCCGGGTCATGTGGCCAGCATGACTAAGCTGCTTCTGGCGGACCAGAGCAGCGCATGGAAACGCCGTTTACCTTCCCGCCGGAGCGGTACCTGTTTATCTACTTGCACTTTGATGTGCTTTCGAACTGCTAGGTTGGTAGGAGCAGGAACTGAGCAACGGGAGCTCACCCCGTCACGGGGATTCGAACCGCTGGTCTTCCGATCGGCAAGACCACAGCGCCAATGTATACCAGAGGCTAAATCACGGTGTTGCTCTTTTCTCCTGTGGCTTTGTGTTAAGTATTATTTTCCTTTTGCTTTCTATTTGTTTTTTCCCCCAGTCATTACCTTACAACAATGGTATATGGCTAATTGAGCATACATTGTTCTGGGTCTGTGACTGTATAATAAATTATGTTATTTTATTTGACCATATATCGTCAAATACTACCAGCAATGAATGTACTACTACAAGAACAGGCTTGCAAATTACCATTCATATAGGCCAGAACACACACACACACAACACACACACACACACACACACACACACTTGCAACCCCCACAGTGCTTATACTGTACTTTCTTTGGCAAAACCCAACTGTGTCATTGCTGGGGATTCTTTAGAAAGGCGTTACTAATGGAATTTATTATTTTTGAATGATAGCAGCAACAGAATTAGAAGGCACAATACGTCTTGTATATTTGTAACGATCTTCTGTTCCATTTCAGAGCCTGGGCTGTTTTTTTTAAATTTATAATAGCCTTTTTCATGTTTTTGGTTATCATAATCATTTTAATATGAGGGGGGGGGAAAGTTTGAAATATCCTTCTAGAGCACCAGGAAACACAGTGCTCTTCAGTAACATTTTAAGTATATATACACAGCAAATAGTCATGATATTTCTGGAGAGTAAAAAATATAGTTTATCAGAATTGTACTGAAGGCCACATTGCCAAAATATCTAAAGCCCAGGAACAAATAAGAATTCAGCTTATTATTATTATTATTAAAACAACAACTCAAAATTCACAAAACTCAAAACAGCCTCTTCTGTATTTAATATTTAGAGTGTTGCATTAATTTTCCTGTTACCATGAAGCTGGATTCTGTGTTGTGAGCAACATATAGGGGTATAGCAGGATATTAGAGGCTTCAGATCAGTGGTTCCCAACCTTTTTTTGGCCATGCCCCACCTAAGCATCTCTTAAAAACAAATCAGTGGGGTTTTTCTTTCATTATAAACAATATTTTTTGACTGTTAGCATTTACTATATTACAACAAATAGTATACCCTTTGTTCTTAAACTTTCATTACACCCTTGATGATATAATAATAATAATAATAAATAATAATAATAATAATAATAATAATAATAATAATAATAATTTATTTATACCCCATCCACCTGGACTTTCACAGTGAAAAAGTGGGGAAGAATCTTTTTAAAATAACTGATATTTACTGAGTAAGCATACCTTAATTAAGTTACTGAAAGATTGAGGGGGGGGGAGTAATTTGCAAACACTTGACCTGTAATTTCTCTGTTCCTAATACACTGGATGAAGCACACTTTTTAATTTCTTTAAAAATTACAGTGTTGTTTCTTTCTTTCATACCCACTATCCTGTACAACAATGTCTTATTTTTCAAATCGGATTAGGAACTTTGGGAAAGTGTTGGAAGAATAAAATTGTGATTGAGTAACTTACCCTTTTTTCTACTATGTCATTGTCTCCCGAAGACTCTTTGCCATCAAGTGTATCTCTCACAGCCACTGTATGCTTCTTGTTTGTTGGCTCTCTGCTTAAAGTTGTATATCCTATGTGTTCATAAATTGGATTTATGGTCATCTTGGCAATGTATTCTGCTGCCTTGGTTTCAATATAAAGGGTGATCAATCCATCTGTCACCAGGTCGTGGATAGACTCAAAACGTTTCTCTCCAACGAAGTGTTTTCCATCATAGTAAAGTCTGAAGTTTCTGGTTTGATTTCCAAATCTGCCTCAACGGAAGAGAAGAGGTGTATTAAAAAACAACCACCAACCTTCAGCAAGAGAACTTTGCACATAATAAACATTCTCAAACAAACCGAGGCTAGTATATTCTGTGGGTGGTTTGAACGAGGAATACAGAATGGTCAGTCTTTGGCTTCAATTTCCAGCTTCAAGGACGGTGTACAAATCAGAACCTCATGGGAGGGGGAAACCAACCACTGTGGATAGAACACCAAAGATGTGCTTGGCCTTGAAAGACATGCTTTGTCCTCTAGTTACTTAATTATCTTGTGGACAAGCTGAAATTTAAAGCAGCTCAATGCTCAGTTGCTTGCCTATGAAGGGAGAAGTTCTCATCACACAGGATTATCTGTTGGAGAACATTAATACAAAGATCTGATGTCGCTCTGTATCTCTGCACCCTGTTGCCTTTCTGTAGGAAGAGGTCATTCAGGGCAGAGTCGTGCTCAAGTGCCATCAATGATACTGGGTGGAACTATTGCCAGAAGTGCAGCCATGCAGGGCAGACTATGCACAAGGCCAAGCATTCTTCATTTGTGGCCAAAGACCAAGGACTAACTTTTCAAGCTTTGCATAAAAGCTGCCTTGTGCCGGGCTTATTAAGTCTGCAGTTCAAGGAAATCTTTGTGGCATAATGGCTCTGCAAGCTGGCGATTGATTCTGCAGCCCAAGTTGGAAATCATGTTCAGAGCAAGCTGAATTCTTGCCCTTATGAAACATCCCACCCAAAGAGTGGAATGCAAGGATGCCTGCAGTAAGTCTTAGGTGGATGAACTCCCTTGGGGACTGTTTGTAGGTCTTTAGGCCACAGTCAACACTACTTTTCCTAGAGGGTGAAGGCATCCCCACCCAAAACAACAACAACAACAACACATTTGCTGCTGTCAAGTGTCAAGTCACTGACCAGACAACAGTACCAGCTACCAGTTTTAGCAGTGTATGAACAAAGTACTTCTTTGGGGGATGTAACCTTGAAATGTCCATCAGTCCACATACACTGGAGGTTTTAACCCACAACAGTCAACATCCATCGTAGTGACATGTAGTCCAATTTATGTATTCAGCAGAGGGTGCTCTGGAGAAGACACGCCTGCTTTGACCGATGACACCTACTGCAGTCCCGGCAATGAGGGCCAGAACTGGGGATCGCTTACTCATAACACCCCTTAGGTAACTAATGACAAACCAATCCCAAGATGATGATGGCAGCTGTGATGTGTATGTTGTGTAGGACTCCTGTGCCTCAAGCAGTTGGGCAAAGAAGTCTTCCTGTAATTGGGCAATAGGAAGCCTTGCCCAAATGAGGGAAATATAGCAAAAGAATACAAAATCTGGCAAAACAAAAGGAAGCTGATGAGACAAGACAAGAAAAGGAGGGATTCTGAGGAATGTGTTGCTGAAGTTATGTTAAACAACAAACATTTCTTTAAACCCATTTGAAGCAGAATGACTTTTCAATTCAAATTTCAGCACGGTGTGTATTTCTGGCAATACATGGGGAGGGTTAACCCTTCCTTTCAAAGAATGCCCTAGAGCCCTTGGGACCAATTGAAGGCTTCTCACATGTCCAACAGAGTATTAGGCTTTTATAAAGCCTGGTTTTTTTTGGGGGGGGGAAGGTGAAGAAGAATGGGTGCTGCTGGCAATATTCAGCTAATATACCCTGTCCCTGCACACTTCTGTTGCATTATAGGGGTGGCAATGCTAGCATGCCTTACAGGGCTATTATAAGGCTTGAGATACTGCAACGATGTGCTTCGAACACTTGAAATGCATTTTATAAATGCTATAATCCTCCACGGGCAAACAGTCGTCATTATTAAAATATTGCTTTTCTGTCCTGTGCTTAATGTAACTGTTTTCCACTAGGAAACCTAACCTTTACACATTTTTGCACTTCTTGCTAAGTTACACAGAAACGCAACGATAACACACACTTTTGTAACAGCTGCTTTTTGTTTATTAAACAGGAAACTGGGTGTATATAATCGCATACTCTCATGTCCTAACAGAGGCTCGCTGGAAATGTTATTTCACGAACGTACAAAATGGGCTTTGACAATGTCATTAGGACACTCTAAATGGAATCCATTGTGCACTTATTTGCAAATAGCAGGCCTAAAATAAAGGACTTGGTTGTATTTAAAAAATGGTTTGGGATGACTTGTCTGGTCTCTCTTGCTGACCAGCAGCATGCGCTAATTTGCACAACCGGGAAGGACTGAGCTAAACTGGAAGTACAGTTCTAGCTTTAAAAGCACACAAACATGCACACTTGTGAGAAAGAAGGAGGAGGTCAGGACAATTTTCAAACACTTCTCCGGAGGTTCAGCCGCCCGGCTGAGGACCTCTTCTACCTTCCAGTGTAGTCTGGCAAGAGCATGGGGAAGGGGAAGATGGCAGCATATTTTGCCTGCCAGACCAGCTCCTATTGTCAGGCAACTGGAGTCCCCCCTCCCACCGGTTATTCAGTTTTCACCTGCCATAACATGAGGGAAGCCTGGGCATCAGAGTGGGGCACCTATTTCCTCCGCTTTCCTTTAGAACACATAGCAGGGACAAATGGTTTTAGTACACAGTGGGCTCTGCTGCGGTGCCACTGAAGGTGTAGGAGGCTGGAGAGGTAGAAATCCATGAATGTCACTTTATAGTACAGCAAGTCTGCAACTTACGTGCATTTAAACTTGTGTGATTCAGCTCCGTTTCCACCCCATCGTTCAGCCAGGACACTGAGGTCCAGCTCCGAGGGCCTTCTGGTGGTTCCCTCACTGCGAGAAGTGAAGCTGCAGGGAACCAGGCAGAGGGCCTTCTCAGTAGTGGCGCCCGCCCCGTGGAACGTCCTCTCATCAGATGTCAAGGAAATAAACAACTATCTGACTTTTAGAAGACATCTGAAGGCAACCCTGCATCAGGAGGTTTTTTAAATGTTTGTTTTATATGTGTTGGAAGCAGCCCAGAGTTGCAAAATTATTTTACTATTAGATGACACAACCTTGATGTCAGAAAGTGAGGAGGAATTAAAGAACCTTCTAATGAGGGTGAAAGAGGAGAGAGCAAAATATGGTCTGAAGCTCCACATCAAAAAAACGAAGATCATGGCCACTGGGCCCATCACCTCCTGGCAAATAGAAGGGGAAGAAATGGAGGCAGTGAGAGATTTTATTTTCTTGGGCTCCATGATCACTGCAGATGGTGACAGCAGTCACAAAATTAAAAGACGCCTGCTCCTTGGGAGAAAGGCGATGGCAAATCTAGACAACATCTTAAAAAGTAGAGACATCACCTTACCAACAAAGGTCCGTATAGTTAAAGCCATAGTTTCCCCATGTATGGAAGTGAGAGCTGGACCATAAAGAAGGCTGATCGCCGAAGAATTGATGCTTTTGAATTGTGGTGCTGGAGAACGACTCTTGAGAGTCCCATGGACTGCAAGAAAATCAAACGTATCCATTCTTAAGGAAATCAGACCTGAGTGCCCACTGGAAGGACAGATCCTGAAGCTGAGGCTCCAATACTTTGGCCACCTCATGAGAAGAGAAGACTCCCTGGAAAAGACCCTGATGTTGGGAAAGATGGAGGGCACAAGAAGAAGGGGACGACAGAGGACGAGATGGTTGGGCAGTGTTCTCGAAGCTACCAGCATGAGTCTGACCAAACTGCGGGAGGCAGTGGAAGACAGGAATGCCTGGCGTGCTCTGGTCCACGGGGTCACGAAGAGTCGGACATGACTAAACGACTAAACAACAACATTATTACTATTATTGTTATTAAGCTTTACACAGTTGGCAAATAGATATAAAACAATTAAAAATGGGGCACGGTTCTGGGGAAAATGAGAATCCCGCCTGCCCTTGAACCCAATGGGTTTTGACTATATGTGATTTTGGCTTTAGACGTGATTCCCAGAGCGTAATCTCTCATGAATTGTAGTAGATTAAAACAGGGACAAAACAGGTCTCTCTTCCACCTTCCCTGGAGCATTCTTGTCTCTAAAGTTGCATACTTTAGAGGAAGCTGGTAAAAAAGGCCTCTCTTTTCCAATGTCACAAGTGACGTTTTGTGGAATTTATATCATTCTAAAGAACACATTCATATGATGAATGATAGGGAGCTCAAAATTCAAACAAACCCCTCTTGATGGGATACGGAGCTTCAAAAATTGTTAACCTACCCTGGTCCCAAGTATCTTGTTGAAAGAGCTTCTTGCATTGCCCACGAGATGTAGCAGACTTTGAACTTATTCTAATTTCAGTGTTGCTTCCAGCAGGAGAGCTGGGAATTTTATTTATTAATCTGGGAGTGGAAAGATTTTGAAAATGTGTAAATCTCTTATTTGAGGTTTAAAGAAGAAAGTCAACTATATGCTAGAGGCTTAGTACCACATGCTCAGCTAATGACCCCCTGCTTTAGCCGGCTTCATTTTAAGGGGAGTCTTATTCGTGACACAGGTTATGTTCCTTGGGAACATTACAGCAGATGAGGAAAGACATTTAAGAGGGAAGAAAACCGAAGCAAACATAGTGCCAAACTTGGATTAAGGTTGGACAGGACTCTCTCAATCCCAATGCTTTTCAAGCTGCTTCCTAGCCTAGGAAGGTAGCTACTCCGGTTCATTAAAAATGAGAGTGAATTAGAACATTTCTAAAAATGAAACCTCAGTATGATTACTAGTATCAACACTATCTCATTTTCTAAAGCAACATTTCCATAGAATCAGGAAGCGGGAATAGGCCCATACCCACCTACATATCCCCCAACCACAGCCAAACACCCAAACTTCAGCTATTCAATCTGTACCACAGTGTACCAAAAGCAGTCTTTTTTGCAGTTGTTTTAAGGCACAGAGATTTGGGTTTTTTTAAAAAACAATTTTGCAAAACAGTGATATGTCCATTATCACTTCTGAGGACCTCAACTTTTGCAACCCAAATGTTCATAAGGTGAGGTGACTAAAAAAACAACAAGCAAAATCTAGCCCAGCAG